TGAAAACAAGTTCTATAAAGCCCCACCTAGAAAAAGAGACTTTAAAAACTCTGTGAAAGTAATTATCGTTTCTTTTATTGTGCAAGTGATCTGAACCACTTAGATTCACCAGTAATGAAAAGACAATTCAGTGAATCTGTGCAAGAACTACATTTGAGATGACAAATTTGCTGGCTTTGCATGCTGACCATGCTGCATTTATAGTAAGGCTAGTCTTTGACTCCTCGCTGAAAAAGGGTGGAGGGGTCAAAAGAAACAGAGTAGTGCCTGAGTAAGGAAGGAACATGCTGCTTTGCCTCCTGCCTGTCCTCTGAACTTCCTGCAGGGACTGCCAGTCTGCGTTGCGAAAACCTGTCCACTACAGACTCGTCTTTCCCAGGCTTTGCTCCTACTGACTGAGCATTCCTGTAACAAACAGGTCTGCTGGTCCACTTTTCCAGCTATTTTGTCTTACAAGAAACGTTCTTTTCATTTGTAAGTCAAACTCCCCTCATCCAGTGAAGCACAATGCAGAGATCTCCTCTGATATGTCATTAACCTCTTCTGGCAACACTGCCAGTATGCAGGAGACAGCTTTAAGTCAAGCAGAGTCTTTACGCTTGCCTTAACTCTGCTTTCAAGTACCACTTTGAAACTTAACAAGACAGGATCAAAACAGGTCGGCAACTCCTTTGCTTTCACACCTCTAACATCTATCCCTGGGCACAGCCTTAATTTTGTAACATCTTGAGAAGGCCAGCTCAAGGTAAAGACAATTTGTTGTTAAGTTAAAGACCATCAGAAGCAAAGTAGCATCTCTAACCATTCGTGCTGCTCTGTCCAAACATTTCTCAGCATACAGAGCGAGGTTGAGCAGGGAGAACAAGTAGTGGTCTACCAGGAGCAAAGCACCTTGGTTGCTTGAAGCTACCGCAAGCTCGCAGCAGACAATAAAAAAGGCTCAGATGAGTGACTCAGGCCTTCCAGGGGGAAAAGGTAAGACTGGATGAGATCAAATAGCCTTTTTCTTTCCTGGTGCTGTTACACCTGGAGAAGGAGAAGGGAGGGAAGTGCAGCTGGGAGAGGCACTGCTGATAGGTGACCTGTCAGTCTGAAGGTGACTCCAAACCACCCAGTGGAGAAGCAGAGCCCAGCACCCACAGAAGCTGGTCACACATGTAGTTGATGAGGTGGGCAGTAGGCCAGCAACTCAAACTGCAAGGGGTGTGTACACCTGCACAGGGAGAGTCCGCATGCAGAAGATACCCGATACACTTGGGAGCAAAAGTCTTGAGAATTGTTAAATACAGTCCAAGGATATTTAATTTTTTTTTTTTTTTTGGCTTCCTTGCACCATGTAAACTCCTTGGTCATTCAAAATTTATATATAGTAGAGGTGAAGAACTAGAAGCCAACCAAAACTAATGCATTCTTCCACATCTAACAGGGCAAATACTTGTGGGCAATTTTCTGAAATTAGTAGATGACACCTTTTACACGTTCACAAACAACAAAAACGTATTAGATTGCCACATTTTCAAAATAATTGAGATTTAAAGCATCTTACACTCCTCAAGTGGGGTTTGCAGAGCAATACTGTATTGCAACCAGTTTTTCCTACAATATGTAGCACGAAATTGCCCAAATTGAGGTCCACAAAAATAACAAAGAACAGAATTTGCACTGGTATGCATGAACTACCTCTGGTAGCACGTTTCTACCTTGCAAGAAAGGCATCAGGACACTGCAATTTTGTACTTATTTGGGCCAGCTAGTAGTTAAAACTTACTGTGGAAATGTTCACTAACACTGCTGCTCCTGGTTGAAATGTTTAATAAAGACACCATTATCTTTTTTCTAAAAACAGTGCTGCAGATATTTAAAAAGGGATTACCCTGACCAGCTAGTGTGACCCGAATGGCACATTCATCTGTTTCAGGACTATTTTCCCTATGCATTGACAAGAACTTCTAAATAAATAGGTATTTGTATGATACACAGGTCTAAGATTATTCTAATCATCGTTTTAAATCTCCAGGTATTAGAGATCTAGACATTTTAATGTCATCACCTGCTATCAGACACCCTACACAGACATGGTGTTTGTATTTAGTTAATCCTAGTGTTTTCAGGGCTTGTTCCAGTTTCTTTTATATTTAGGCAAGTACCCACATTTTTGGTGGGGTATAGTAATCAAGATTAGTGGGCTAGAAAATAATAACATGCAAAGTCAATGCTCACCCAGCCCTGCTTTGTTCTGCATGACTGACCTTAATACCCTCTATATCCACAGCCCTAGACTGTGCATGTCAGGAAGAGCAGCAGGTCACTCGGCTTTGTTTGTCAATCAGACAGCAGCAGAAATTGATACTGTATGAACAGCTTGCAGCAAAGTTATCTAAATGCTTAGGGAAGAAATTCATTAAAGATTATCTTTAACATACTTGAAAAATAAATTCGTACCTTTATCTACATGGTACAGGGAGAGCAATTTTCTACATATTAGCATAATAATAACCAGAGGAGTACCTTCTTGCCCATATTGCTTGTTTATATCACTTCAATATCTTGTTGTCTTGAGAATGCACATTTTTGTTTTTCTGTCCTGTATATTTTCATTTATACCTTACATATTCAAATCCTAGTCATTACTTCTTTTTCATGCAGAAAATGTATCAGTTTTACCACTGCAAACTGCAGCTACTAGAACACACAGCAAAAGCAGCATCAGCTAACACCTCATCCACTGAACTGTCAGTCATCTCTCAACAGCTACGTCACAGGCCTTTGGCCTAACCTAAACAAAAAGGTTGGGCATCTCTGGGTTAAAATGAAAGCAACCTATTAAGAGCATGTCTTTACAGAGCAAAATGCCCATCCATGCAAGTAAAGCAAAAAAAAATCACCTTTCTTCAACAGTGGAGAGGATTTATTTGGGCTATAAAAAGCCTGAACTAGAATCTTCATTTTTCATTTTTCTCTTCAGAAATATAAACCCCAATCTTGGGCCAATATAAACACTACAGAAACTTAATATCACTTAACTCCTGTTTTACTCTTTAAGTACTTACAGATGGGTAATTATTTAAGATGGATGTAAGTGCTTCACATTTAAACCAAAGTTTTACACACCAACATTGTTGCACAAACTGTCAAAGAAAAAACTAAAAAAAAAAAAAAAATCACTGATATATTACAGTAAGTGGGCTTTTGAGCACATGAATACATGATTAACCAGGGAATGAATAATTCTGCAGTGTTTTTCCACTTGAACAATTCTCACTTTCCCTGTAAGGCTTCTTCAGGTAAAGTCATGCTATACCATGTTCTTCTAAACTGGGGTGGGGGGGAAGAAAAGAAACCAAAACTGTCCTTTGAACAGCCTTATTTCTATTTGGTCCACTTTCTAGGATGCTCTTCTAGCATGACAGGATTTAAAATCCTCTCAGTTTCAGGTGTTCTCATAACTCCTCCACTAGAAGGACGCTCAGTCGCAGGTTCAGGAGCTCAGCACTCTGAAACCACTCAGAAGAGTTGGTGGCCTAATAAAAAAAAGGGTAAGAGGCTGCAGAGAAGGTATTCATCCCAGACTAAGTCATTCACATCTATTGATCCCACATCTAAATTTCACTGACCCATCTGCCCCAGTCATCTTATCTCACTCTCTTCTATGTGTTGCAAACACACAGAGGAGGCCACCATAAAATATCATCAAACATCTTTAGCACAGCTCTGCTTCTCCAACGTATCACCTTGACTTCAGCATCCTGGTGAAGAAGTTGCAAAGAACTACCTTGACAGTGCTATTTAAAACAACCTTGCTTTCAGAAAGGAAAGTATCCATTTACAAATCTCTGCAAAAGTAAGGTAAAATTTGTTTCAGATTTGTGCCCTAAATCTGCTGCCAAATTAACTTTGGAAATATATGTACTACAATTTTATAGAAGTCAGGCATCTGATTAACAACAGGTAGAACTAATGCCTCTCAAGAGTACTGCACCTGCAATTCTCAAAATTGGAACTTTAATTACATTTTCATTATGAATTGAACTAGAACAAAACTGATGTACATGAAAAACGTGTGCAGTTGACACCTTCACCTGCACAGCCTGAGGAGGGATCAACCCTCCCAAACCCACAGAGCTTTGCAATACAGATGAGACACCTAAGCACTTACTTCAATAAATAACAGGGTTGGACATAGGGCTATAAACACCAAATAAAGCTCTCCCTTTGATCTTTATAAAATATTTAATGAAATCTCCCAAAAGTGAGTGACAAAAATATTACAAAACTGAACTTCAAAGATAGCCCTTTTCTCCAATTATGAAAAAAACTAACGTACCTTTACCTTTGAGCTAAACTTAGCTACTTTTATGCAGGATGAGTAGCTCTACTGTGTGTTCACAGTCCCATTACCTTGTTACTTTAATCGCTGAGCTAAATTTACATTTAGCAAATTTCATACTTTCTTGAAAAAGAGAGGAAGAAAATGGCAGGGACTTAGCAACAGACGTATTATAAACATAGTATTACAAAATCCACTCTGTATTTGCAGCTTCCTGTCCCTCAGATAAGTCAATGATGAATACTTTCAAAGTTTTCTTCAAATTTTTGTATTTAATACTTTTAAAAAATAATAACCACTCTAATAATATTTTGCATTCCACTGTATAGAAATTTTGTAGGAAATAATGTCCAAAGAGATCTGTCTTCACTGTAATATTAATTTAATAGCTAATGTGTATTATTCACATTTATATGCAAGTACATGTGATAATAGTCCAACATGCAGATGACTGAGAGGCAGCTGCTTAGAAGACGCATTCCTGCATCCTAAGCCACTCTGACCCACTAGTGTTAGAAGATTTGTTGATCCACTATGTTTTCCTTCAGGTGAAGACAGGGAACATTTAAATGGTTCATTCTTCTGCATGTTAAACTGGTCAGTGTTTTGGCCATCTCTCTCTTTCAGACTTTGTTGCATAGGAGAAAAGCCTTCTGTGCAGCCTGCTGTTCTGAACATATGTTAATGCAAACACAGTTGTTTTACTGTTCTTCAGGGACTCTTCTTCTTGCTTTTCTGTTCTTCCTTAAGATCTTTTGCATTACATCTGGACCCCAATGCTGTTAACATTTCTATTGTCGTCAAGTTGGCTCCCTTCATTATCAATCGGTCTCCATCAACTGTAAAGGGGAAAAAATTTTAAGATGTCAGAAAGGCTAAGTCACAGTTACTTTAGTGTGTGGTTATCTTTTGTATATATAAATCCAAATACACTGTTCATCTTGTCTGATTAGAAAGTACTCCACTTACCAAGGAATCTGATTACGCACCACCACCAAACAAATACATTAAACTGCACACAGTACGCATGTAATTTTCATTTCTGTATTGCATTATTGAAAAATCTGAAACATTTGTCTAGGTATACCTATAGTAAGAACACATATTGGATGAGAATGACTCATACTATGCCGTCAAAGTCATCTAACAGAAGGCACAGAAGGCACTGGAAGGCATAATTTCCACACATGGCTCAGCATTTTAGCAGCATGTTGTCTATGGTCCGTTTAACTTGCTTCTTTAGCCAAAACAATGAATTGGTTTACACAATCTGGTGGTTAGAATGTAAAAAAAATAGAGAGCACTAGGATTTCTAAAATTCTGAATGATTATTTTAAAACAGGGAGGAGGCAGTAGAAGTTAAATATTGTACCTAAGTTTATTATTTATTTTTGCAAGATTTGCAAATACAAAAGCCATACTCAAACCCATATAATGCAATACCATGCATGGCATCCAAGTTCCAGCCCCACGTTTGCCAACTACAAGGGCTGCAAACCCTTCACTTAGAAAATAATCAGCTCTTAGGAAACGAAGAGTTCAGCACTGTAGGTCTTGGCATTAGTGAAATAAATTGGTTTGGTTTTATGCTGTGAAAAACATTAAGCTTTACTGCTTAAGTCTTAATACATCACAGTTAGAGACAAGGAAGGGAAAGACAGAGGCATGGAGGAGGGAGAAACAGTCAATGTCAACACTGAAAATAACTAGACTTTCCTAAGCAAAATGAAGTATGTTCAACAGTCTTGACATTTCTACCAATTCACTAAATATATGGAAGTTTAAAGAAAAGGGGGTAGCAGGAATCAATAATAATGAAAACTTTAATGGGCTACATGACATATTGGTCCATTACAGCACAGCAGGAAAGAAGATGCAGCCAGAGAAAAGGACAAAAGCAGATTACAGCCATCTGTTCACAGCCTAGAATCTGGGCCGCCTCCAGAACTGATGAAATTTCCACCATCAATTCCCTGCCTGCTCACTATACCCTCAAAGGAAACCAAGAAATTTGTTGTACATCAGTTGACCTCATTCTGCAAGTCCATCTGCACATGTATGGTCTTATCCATATGAGCAGTTCCTTCAAACTGCATAGTAAGTTACTTGATTGCATACGCAACTAAAGGTACTCAGCTTTTCTGTTCTCAAGACTGAGATGCCTCCACCACAGATAAGATTAAAAAAAATACAGAAAGTGAACAGATTCTTACATCAAAACAGAGCTACACTTACTTCCCTGGAATTGTACCTGACTGCAACATCACACAAGTATGCCACTACAAAAGTAGACTCAACCCTAAAGTTAAGTCAGTTCTTTGATCTAAGATCCACCAGATCTAACTGTAGTACAAAGACATATATACACATTTATCTAGACATGAGACTTTTAGTGACTCCCTCTTCCTTTTTTCCTCCCAGCTGCACCGCCTCTAGCTATGGACCAGAACCAAAAAAAAGTAATCACAGTAAAAAAAAAAAAAATCATAGAGAAGACAATAACATCGTAACAACACAAACACAAAAGGTCTCTTTTTTTTGTCAAGATTAAAAACGAGCTCCTTACCAAACATAACATCTACAAGCGGTTCAGACCCATCATGTCTTACATCAGCAGTCACTTCACAGTTTCTATTGGTGGCCTGGATTTTTTTATGGTTTATACATCCAAGAAATTTTCTGAAAATATATTTGAAAATATATTAAGTATCTTGCAGATAGAAATTACAGTAAGTATATTTCTAAAACTAATTTGAATATATTGATATTGATGGGCAATAAAAGTATAAACAAAATAGGAATTGTATTTAATAATTTCAGACAGGTACTTCTTATGGCATAATCACTCTCAAAAATCCAAATGGATAGTCCTTACATGCTAACATGTAAAAAGCATACCGAAGAATTTTGCAAAAATTCAGTGCATGCACTTTCTGTGTTTCTCTCAGCTGGGTTAGTAAAAATAATTTAAAAACCAAAACCATCAGCAAAGTAATTTCTATTTTTCCTTATACACTGGTTGCTTGCCAATGTTTTATTATCTGGGTTTGAGACAGCATTTATTTACTTATTTAACATCATCGGTCTCCTGTAGATTTCTGAAATGCATGATAGCCATTTGACATGCTGGCAGCTTAAAGACATTCTAAGTTAAGTTGTGTTACTAAGTTGATTTCAAAAGTAGATTTATCTGTAAAGCTATTGCAAAATGACATTTTACAATTGTTTGGTGCAGAACTTACATCACTCGAGAACCATAATTACTTAGATTTCTCCAACAGTTAATTACCAAGATAGAGCAGCAGCTGTTGCCCCCTCTCTCTCCCATTACCAGCATTTGGACTAGTGATTATAGACCCTCACCTACAGGCTCAGGAACTCAGAGGGGCATCTCCCTGGGTAGTTTGGTAAAGCTAAATGCACATGCCTCTGTGCAAGGGTCTACACTTAGGCACAGAGATCCTCCTAAAATCAGCACAGAATGAATGCTGTGTGCATCCTGGTAACATCTGCCAGAAACAGAGCCCTTACGACAAATGTGGTGTCTTCTCATTCTGAAATGTGAAGGTCCTGCCTAGATTATGCTACGAAGCACCGATAAATGCAAGCCTTCAAAGACCAAGACGATGAAAGTTACAGTACGGCAGATGCAGAAGTCTGGGAAAAAGAGTTTCTTCTCCAGAGAGGGAACAACAGATGCTGCCACTTCCCTCACGATTTGCTCCCAGGTAATTTTCTTTTGCTGGCTACAGTGACAGCAAGTGACAGGGCACTGCAGTGACAGCCGTTTCAACGGCTTCGTTTTGGTTCTGCCACTGCTGCGACCTGGGCAGCAGCCGGCTGGGGCGGCCGCTCTCCCTGCTCTTCGGGAACCTGCCACGCTTCCACGGGCGGAGGGGCGCAGGCCTGTGCCCCTCGACGTGCCTGGGCTCTGCGGCAGGGCCTGGGGCACCGGCCGCACCGTGGGCGCACATAACCCCAGCCTCTACTCGCCCCACCACCAAATAAGTAAAATTAAGGGCAAAAAGTCCAGCCCTCACACCTGCCGTGAAACGTACAGAACCCACGCCCCGGGCGCGGGAAGGGCGCTGGGTGGTTTACAGACAGGGGAGGCGGACAAGGCCTCCCCGCCGGGCGCGGGTCCGAAGGCCAGAGCATGCCGCGGCCGGGGCCGGGGCCGGGGCCGGCGCTGCCCCCGCAGCCCCCTCACCTCGTGCTCTCCACGTTGGACTCGAAGGGGCAAAAGCGGACCACGATACTCTTCACCGGCCGCAGCACGACCCGTATCTTGGACGCCATCTTCTTTCTGTCCTTCCCCCCCACTACAACTCCCAGCAGCCCCCTCGCAGAGGCGGGAAACGGAGGCGGGCGTGCCGTCCGCCCCGCAGTCACCTGGGAAATGTAGTCCGCGGCGGCCTCCCCCCGGGGTCCTCTCCCGACGTGAGGGCGGCAGGCGGCGGGCACAGCTGCGTGGGGCCTGCGGCCCTGGGTGCCCCGCGCTTGGCGGGGTGCCGGCCGCCTGCCCTACGAGCCTCAAGTGGCAACGCCAGGCGCTCGGGCCGGGTTCGTTTGTGGCTGAGGGAGGGAGGGAGAGGGACCAACCTGTCCTGGCTCCTCCCCTGGCTCGGTAACACGGTAGGAAGAGTGGGGGGGGGGGGGAAGGCACACTTCTGACATAAAACTGACGTAAAAGACTTCCTCTGGGATGGGCAGCCGAAGGAGCAGGCCCGTGTGCCGTTAAGGCTTGCACGCAGGCGGCAGCGGGCGCGGGGTAACGCTACTGGAAGCGGCACTATATAGTATCCGTAAACTTAAGCAGCAAGGCTGCGTTTGTTTTCGTTACGTTAAATCTGTCCCTGTGACGTCACAGCTTTTGATGACTTCCAGAAGTAGTTTATTTAATACAATTGAATAGACAAGGATATTAATGAGGCTTAATAAGGAGCAGCTGATAAGGCTAAGGATAAATGAGAGGCAATATTTCGCAATATATCAAGCAGAAGAGAGACCTGTAAGAGGGAACGCTACTGACGTGAATACTTTTTTTTTTTTTTCTTTCTGACGGGTCAGATACAGCCGTTGCACACCCGCTCTTTAAACAAAGGTTTTTGGATGCTGGTGCGGTTGGTGTCGGCTGTGTGTTTTCCAGTAGATGGCAGAAACCTCCCTGATAAATTGCTGCAGCGGTCTCGGGACTTTGTTCTGCTCAGCAGCACCGAGGTCTTGGTGAGGGCTAGGGGTGAGATGGAATAAACCCGGTAGCAATAGCATTTAAACAGATGTGAACTTCTATGGAATATTCGATACAGACCCATCCTTCGGATCTACAGGAACTGCATTAAATACCTAGCATCCCTTGTGATGGGTAGCCTATTTTTAGAAGCTTATCTTTGTTTATTGGAAGTCCTTTTTTTTAAAAAATCACATAGTCATTGGGGAAAATCATCCTCTTCGCTGAGATTTAGCCAACAGATAGTAAGTAGCAAAACTAAACACAGCGGAGTCATTATAGTTTTAACATTTAATGTTTTTATTCTGTTTTTTTAATATATCATAGTCTTCCCTTATGGGAAAAAATACATTTCTGTGAGATATCTTTTGAAAGACTCCACTGTAACCAATAAATGGCTGATTTAAATAGGAATTTTTCCTATTTAATAGGATCAGACACAGGACCAGGTAAATAGAGTATTTTACATTTAGAAGGCAAAAGTAACTTACAAAATTACAACATCTCTTTCTTCATTATAACACAAAGAGCTTCATGTATTCCGTGTAAAATCTGTAGCAAAATTTCCATTAGCTTCTATGACAGCACTGAAGGAATAACATCAGCAAAGGACTGAGGAAGAAAGAATGGTCACTGATTTTTCTGAGGGCTCCATTGTCCACACTGTTGGTACCATGGCACTTACTGACTTAAAAATATGCATGGCAAAAACAGTTTTATATTTGCTCTTACTGCATTTTGATAGTAATTTCATGAAGAGTGTTTAACTTATATTACACAATTAAATGAAAGGAAAACTGTGTTTATTCCTTTCCATGCTCAGACTGGTTAACTTTTTAACATTTATTGTCAGCAGTAAAAGTTGCGTCTTTCCTCTTAAGCCATCTGTTTCGAATAATCGAAAACCATCTCTGCTTATTCAAACTACTTTTTAATTTTTTGAAGTCTGAGAGATTCACGATAATGTGAAAGAACAGGTATCTGGTAACTGAAAGGCTGTGTTCTTTTCCTCCCTTCAAAGAATAGACTGTATCTGTGAGATGAAACCAAGTGTTCCTACCCATCCCTATGAGTAGAAATATCCCATCCCTACCCTACTTGTTTGAGACCAAGTGTTTCTCAACACTTACTCTAAATGCAATAGTTTTAGCTGATGATAATTCTGGTTAAAGTGCTAACTTTTACAGTTACTAAATTAGATAGATAAACAGCAAAGTGACACAGCTATTTAAAAACCCCCAAACATTTCTTCATCTGCCTTTAAACCCAGGTCTTGGTTAACCCCAGTATGTTGGACTACCCTCAGTTTATACCAGAGTAACTCCAGCTGATCTCTGAAGAACAATATTTAAATGCCATTTAAGGAAGGGTGATAATTTATCCATGAAAGACCTTGAATCAGTCTCTCCAGCTCCAGCAGGTAATCTGGGAACTCTCAAATGTCTGTTTTTGAGACTGTTCTCCGGGAACATACTTGGGAAACTGAATGACTCATGATTCTTATACCTAGTGATAATCATACACATTCCAGGAGTATAGTAACATGAAGAGGCATAAAAGTTATAATATTATAATAGAAACAATTTTAGTATTCCTTTCATCAAGCTGTTCTTTTTTATTATAAATGCAGCCTCATCCCAAGTCTACAGACTTTCAAGTCATTAGTTTCACTTGAAGTGTAGTCACGAGCCCATGGATGATTTATATCTAAGCACCATACATAACAAGGAAAAAATGCTGCCATGTTTTACACTTATTATTATGAAGACAGGCAAAAAAAGACTATAATATTAATTAAGTCAATTTTCCTCTTTTCTCATTGTTTCCCCCAGCTCTCTTAGATCCAGGGAGGATTCTTCTGCTTTTTCCTGTTTCTTTCTTACCACTTTTGTTTTCTGTAATGTTTTCTGACTATAGAAAGGCCCACATTTCAGAGCTTTTGAAATCTAATTTCTCCATAGTTTGGGCATGTCTGGTTCTAGTACCTTGCCTCTGGCTTTTGATTGCTCTTCAGCTGATTTCTTCCTTTAAAATCTGGTGGTCCTTCCAGTTCTTCTTCCAAAACACTGGGTGAGACAGGGCTCTCAATGCTGCATTTCAGGTATGGTATTACACCTCCACGCACTTACTGGGTTCTGGAGTCAGATCATTATCTCTGCTTGTTCTCAGCTGATTGCTTCCTCTGCATCTTTATCCTTTTTTCCTGGGTCTTTCTCTGAGTCTTGTCACAAACGTCAATAGGCCCAGAATTTAGCAATCAAAATGTCACGTATGCACATCTAGTTATAATGCTGTGTAGTTCAGGAATAAAATGTAATGCTGCCTTCAGGGCAGTAGCCAGTACTGAGGAGAAGTGAGCCAACACAAATCCAGCAGCCTGCCTGTTTTGCACTGAGGTGATGCTTCCAGATGGCCACCCAGAAGAGGCTCTTTGAGAAAGATGGTGTGGTGGGCCTGACAGGAGAAACAAATTATTTCTGGAAACAGAAGAATACTCTGACAAGTGCAGTATCATGGAACATATCTTTGTAAGAGCAATGGACAGAGATGGTCAAGATCACAAAGGACTTGTAGGAAGTCATTATAAATACTAGTGCCACACTGAAGGACATGTTGGGATGAATCCCCTACCATACTGGAGGAACACTGCTTTTAGTCATAAAAATATAAACCAGTCTGTGTTTTCTGTCTGGTTTTGTTTCTTCCTTTGAACTGAATATTCTTACACCATATGTCAGTTACTAATTTTAAAAATATTTCCCCAAAGAGAAGAGCTCATAAATGTCCCTTACTCTCTGAAAACTGTAGAAGTCAAGCATAGTTTTATACTAATACTAATTTTGCATATCATTTGTAAACCAAGTAACAGTTGTATGCTGTTAATGTGGTTTTCAGAAATAAAACTAAACTCAACCAGCAAAGGTACCACTTAAAATGAGCTTGGTTTGTAATTAATTCTGAAATAGTAACTCTGCATATCAGTTAAGAAAAGCTTTTATGGGAGTGAATAAACAGATTCCCTAGTTGCTCTTTACTCCTCTGCAAACATGTATTTCTGTTGCCTGAGGTTAACAACTGCCAGCAGAAATGTTTGCTAAAATAATATGTAGCATTTAACTGGCTCAGAACATACTGTGCCAGTTCCTGACTTTTCTAACTTAATTTCTTGAGGATAACACTGAAGTTTTTGAAGCCACACCTTCATATGAGATAGAGCAAAAGCTTTACTTCATCTCTTTTTCTTCCCTGTCTAATAAATGCTACATTGAATGCATGCAGGTATCGTTTGGATTTTTATGTTGATTTGAAATATGCAGCAAGAAAGTTCATTATCATAATAGCACAAGGCACAAAGATGAGCTGAAATGAATGGCAACAACCCAAGGTTAGTACCTGAGTCCTTGAGGTCTGGAATTTGTGCTTGAAACTCCAGGTAGATTAAATGAGTGTATTTTTACTTTAAAGGTCCTTGCACTCAGTGACTCAGAGGTATGTTCCCATTTGACAGACCTAACTCTAACAGAGACATTGTCATAATTTAAGAGGCAACAGATTTCCAGAAGTGCAGAATTTGGAGAAAGCAGTTGTATTGGAATTTAATCTATATTTTCAAAGACTTCCTGAAGGTTTGTGCTTCAGATAACTTGTTAGAGATTTTGAGGAGCTCAGCAGCATATTGACATTTGTACCACTCTGCTAAGGGCATACTTCAGTGTTGCAAATATTGTAAGCAAAGCAGTTTGTTTTCACTGTCTTCTGCTAAGAATAGCCATGCCTATAGATTGATGTCATAAGTTATTAGTATTGTCAGCAAACTATAATAATATTGCTCAATTGAACGTGGTGACCAGCCAGGATAGTCTCTCTATACACTTTAATTCTTTCCATGGCAAGAACTTTCACCTGATACTCTACAAGCTTACTTATGCACCAGTTTTAACTTCTATTTTTATAGACTTCAAGAAAGTATCTTGGCATTATGTACATGTAAGCCATACTTACTTAACATGGATAAAAGTTGAAACATAAAGTGTCTAGTCAGCAGACATAGAGGAACTAGATATAAAAATATGGGATTTTTATC